GAATAAATGGTAAATATTGTTTATATAATTTGTTTAATTTATTAATACAAAGCATTGAAATAGAACACTTCTTCATACAATAAAAAGACACATTAAGTATTGAAATAGAATTAGATAATGAAGAAGTTGTAGTACCAAATGAAGAAATCAACTACATAGTACCAAATGAAGGAATCGACTATGAATTATCAAATGAAGGAATCGACTATGAAAGTGATTATGAGATGCCAATTGAAATTGAAACTGATTCTGAAGTGCCCAATAATAATTTTTTCGCTGAGGAAGAATTATCTGAAGATGAATTGTTCAACAAGAGATCTTATGAAGAATTATTTGATGACGGTGGTGATGATGATGATGAAAATTTTAGCGAAGATGAATTATCCGATGATTATGAAGAATCTAATAAGGATGAATTATCTAGTAATGACGATAACGATGACGTACCAAATGAAGAAATGATAGATAAAATCGTTGATAAGGCCTTAAGTGACAAACAAATGCCTTATACCGATGGAGAGTTCACACTGTATTTCAAAAACATTACCGAAGCATTGATGTTTTGTTGGATTCAAAAACATAACATATGTAAGGATCAATTTAATGATTTATTTATCTTTATAATTATTAAATTAATTTTGTTATATTATTATACTCAATAGCTACTCGAGCTTACGATAAGCTAGTAGATATAATTCATTATCCATAATTCAAAAGTAAAGATATTGTAACAAACATTCACCAGTTTAGGAAGTATCGACAAAGATTACCTTTGCTTTCTATCAAATCACGCAAAATTCATATTTCAAACAAAAAAACCCATCAACTTCCTGAAAAAAGGATATGTATTATTTATCCATCACAGATATAATTTGGCATGCTCTTAACAATCGTTCAATATTTGGTCAGATGTATTTTGGCTCAGATTAAATGGTTGAAAGAAATCTCAAATTCTAGCACGGAAATTTATAGAAGGAATCTCCATGATTTAGATATGCATTTATGGAGGTAATTAAATATTAACGTTTTGTATACAAATAACATTTATAATAATACTGAAACAATAACTGATTTATCAAAGATTACTTTATTTCTAAATAATGGTAACAAAAATAACGGCTATTGTAAATATTATTCAATTTTTAGCAACGTACAATTGTAGGGATTTCGTAATTTATAGAAAAATAATGACAAAAATTAGTAGAATTTTAGCGATAGTAGAAATACATGGCGAGCTCAAAATAACTATTCAACGCGTTTTAAGATTTGATGAATTGCCAAATAAATTACAAAGTAATAATCGCAAAGAAAGGTCACATGTTGAAGTGTGGCTGTTAGATTGAGAAATAGAAAGTGTGATTATAACTATCGAATTATATGAAATCATTAAACATGCTACAGTTGTTATACTTTACAACGAAGATACTAATAATGAAGTTTCTTTAATTATTATTCAAAAATTCTTTATAAATATCATGGTTGTTAAAAGTTAAAAAACGTCACGTATTCTTATCGTCATTCTTCAGAATTTGCTCTATTAGAAGAACTACTAACACATCTTCCAATATATAAGCTATACATCAATAAGTATTATGATGGCTTTGGAACATTCTGTAATGTCTATCATTCACTAGGTAGCATTTACGTTCAAATTGGAAACATAGAATTTAAAGAGAGAAAGAAGCTCAAGAATTATTTCATGCTCAGTTTTGTTCCATTCAGTGGCCACTTCGATGAATTCATTAGACCTTTTGTTAATGAGATGAAGAAACTAGAAAAAGGAATAGTAATGAATGTACAAGTAAAAGTCTCATCATCGAAAGTCTAGGAGATATAACTATAGACTTGCCCCAAGGAAACAATTTAGCCGGAGTTAAGAGATATGGTGTCATAAAAGGGTGTCAAACTTGTAATGCAAAAAAAGATTCTTAAACTTCCGATGGTCTTGATTTATAATTTATTTCTTGTTATCATCATCTTAAAAATAATCAATTTAAAGAAATTTCTGTAGCTTCAACGATAACGAAGTGTAAAGAGCTTATAACAGAATATGAGTTGTGCATTCAGCCACCAATACTTGAACAATTAAAAAAAGAGAGACACCTTCAGTCACCATAAGATGTCTATCATATTACGGCTGAAAAAGTATTACGATTTCTCAAAATAACAATTGAAGCATTTTCACAAGAAGGAAAATCAGAATTCATCTTGTCCTGAAAATTATTCAAATATTCAAGAACGTAGTAAAAGCTGCTAAATCCAATATCCCACATTGATAGCTTTATGATATCAGATTGTTTATGTCTATCTATAATGTTTCCGTTTATTTTGAATAATTCTTAAAGTATAAATACTTCAAACAATCTGAAATAGACAAGCTCTAAACACAAATAGGTGTTTCTCGTAATGATTTAACTATAAAACTGTGGTTAAAATGTTAAATACTAATAGCAAAGATGACAGCAATGGCGTTCAAGCATTCTTTTACAGAAGAGGATTATATTAAGTAATGTGAATGTTTAGATAATGAAAGAACTTTAATTCACAGGTAATTACAATCTTTATTTTATTAATGAATATAATCAAATAATTACAAATTGTGCTAATTACTATTTTATTATCACTATTTATTAATTTACAAAACATACAGGCATTCAAAGATTTTGAGAATCTTCTGAATTTGTATGTTAATTATCATTTGGTACAACATGCTAGAAATTATGCGACATTGTTGAACACTGGTATCGAAATGAAGGAGATGGTCTATTAAATATTTAAAAATATTGTCCTACAAACAAATCAGAAAAATATAGACCTTGATTTGTTGAAACGCTACAATACATTGTTCACAATGCGTCATTTATTTGATGGAGGCATTGATAGTCAATTTTCTTTTACAAACAATACCAACAATGCCTTAACAATCCTTCTGCATTATTTAAAATAGTTATTAAATAATTGGTTTATTATCAAAAAATCTGAGGAAGATACAAGCGAAGGTTTGATTAAATATTTGTTATATTGATTTGTATGATATTTTTCTAATTAACAATTTTTTATATTATTTATTAACTGAATACATTTCAAATATATATTTAAAGAAGCATATACTAAGAAGAAAGGCCAAAGAAAATTTGCCCAATGATTTAATTTTTCATAGAAAACTGGCATTAGCATATTAAGATATAGGCTATGAAATGATATTTTGTAAAAGTCAGTATCAACATTATAAACTTGCTTATTCAGTAAATGATAATGGTATTAATATGCAATATCATCTGCATGTTAGTGATATCTTCATAATAATTTCCAAAAAAGAGAAAGAAGAGGGTGAAAGTTTTGCAATTATACGATCTATTTTTAGTAATGAAAAAAATAATCAATACTTTGCTTTTATTGTTATCAATAGGTTTGAAATTACTAATTTAATGAAATTAGGATGTCTAGTATATAGGCTACAAGATATGTGGCAGATATGTTCTATTAATGTAGTTGATACAAATAGTACTGTACATTTTGTTCATTATTGTAATAATAATAAATGTAATAGTAGCAGACATAATTTTGGGAATAATTTATATATAAGAAATATGTATTTCTTCAAAGCCATTTAATGTAAGATAGAATTTCACTGCAGGATATTAGATTAATTTATGCATCATATACTAATTAGCATCCAAATATTAAAAAATAATTATTGGTATATTTACTAATTTTAAAAAAATCTTCATTAAATTCTTTTTAATGTATTTACAAAATCTTATAAACGCATTTACAAAAATTTAAAACATGTTTACTAATATTTGCTAAATAAACTTATGATTTATTTAATAATATTTAACAACTTTGATAATAAACTTTTTTCTAGTCATCATCAATTGTCTTAATGCGAAATAACTGCATATAGACTAATACTTTACGATATTATAATGAAACTATTACTAATCAAGTATACTATTTATTCATAATGTAGTCACGAAATTTTAACAATTAAAACATTTTTGTAAAGTTCGTTCTTATTTGTTTTTTTAAAAAAAAAAAATAAAATAAAATAAATAAAGTGAAAATAAAAAAATAAAAATAAAAAATAATTAAAATAAAGATTTTGCCAGATCTCAGTGATATGCTTGTTTTTTACTGGTCGAAATCAAAAAAATCAAACATGTAAAAATCGGCAAATTATCAAAAATCAGTCTAGCTAATTAGCATACACTAGAAATCGGCCAAGAATCAGCTAAAATTTGACCTATTTTATTTATAGCCAATTGACATCTGATTTACATCCAATTGATATACATCAAAAATAGACTAAAATATTTCAAAATAAAAGAAAATTTAGAAGGAAATATAACTGATATTTAGGATTAACAGCCAAATAATGCTAAAAATATTCAATTTATTTTTATAAATGGTATTTTCTATTAATAGGATTAATAGCCAAATATTCTTTTGCATTTTGCTGGACTGAAATTTGATAGTTAATCAGTACAAATCGACCCAAAATATGATGAATTGGTATTATACAATTATGACTTTTTGGATAAAATTCAGTATTCATAATTCAACATTACATATTTCTTCTTTGCTAAAATAATATCGCATATTTGGAAAACTTATAGGTTTATACCAATGAACAAATACTAGAAAATGTTCAACCTTTCTGGATGGTAAATCGACCTTATGTGTAAAATAATATTAGACTTGGTCAGGATAACAATTGACTGTACTATCGTTTGTAATAAATTTGGCTAAAATGTATAAATTTTTTACATGTCGCAAAGATATTAATGATCTAAAGATTTCAGAACTAATTTGATACCTTCTGAATTGATTTATTTTGACCTGAATCATTATACCATCTTCTGAATCCTTATTAAATAACTTCTTAAAATCAAACGTGATATAAGTCACATTATAGTATTCAACCATCAAATCAAGCATTTCGCTTGAAATAATTATATTATCAAATGATAGTTTAAGGAATTCGCTGAGAAATGGTTCACTTCTAGTAATATTTAATTTCTTAATATTTCGTGAATTCATCTAAAATCAATGGATTTCGTTAGAAGAAAATTTATTTGTATCCAAAAGTGAACTAATTAAAGGCTAATTGTCTAGCAATTCTAGCCCTTTTATCACAATACCACTGGAACTTGTAATACTATCAATTTGAATATCAAATATCAATCGTCGTATTAGCTCAAGTTTAATTTTTCTATTACTATTTAGTAAAGAATCTAAAAATTATTCATAAATTAGTAAGCTGA